AACTTAAACATTCTGGCTTTGAATGTGCAATTTTCTCAGACGTCATACATCAGCGAGCACCTGGGATGAAGCCTACACACGCAGCACACAACAAGACAGATCTCCTGTACAAGTATGTTTTGAGGAAATGTCATGCTTTATTACTGCAGTAAAGATGGGAATCCTAGTCTTAGCATTCGTTTGTACATTGTCAGTAAACTACCTGTTAGCATTCCCATTTATGCCAACGGCATGCAGTCCCAGAAGTACATGGAGTAGATGCAGTTTTATGCTTACTCAGAAACATTTGTATATGCCACTTTACTAATTACTGTATATTGACTGGACAGTTCACCAAATAACTAAAAATTCTGACTTTAATTAATCACCCTCATATCATTTAAAATCGAATGGCTTTTTCTTTATGACAAAGGTGAGAGTACAGATCTCTGGACGTGATATGCAGGGGACGAAAAAATTGTGTCCATGAATTAAGAATCTATTGCTATGACTTAGTAATCTTTAAAACTCCTTCCATCAAAAAGGGCAGAAAAGATTGTTGTGAGATGAATGTTACTTGCAAAACATTTTATTTAGTTGTAGATATAGATAACTATTTTTAAATATCTTAAATTTGTGTAAAATTTAGTAGAAATTACATTATTTTGATGTATATAAATGGAAACAAAGTTAAATAATTGTTTAATTGAAAAAATATGGAAACATTTTTACAATCCAACAAGTATAACTTATTTCTAAAACAACATTGAGTTTGTACTGCAGTCATTATAAGTTTTATGAGTTTGCAACTATGAGAAAGCCAAGCAAATTGTGTTTTTAGTGGGAATTGAATCTGTTAAAGGGGTTAAATCATGAAAAAAAAAACTGCAACTTTTTGATGGCAGACATATGTAAATTAATGGATCAGAAACTTTATTGTAAATGAATATCATGAATAATTTTATGAATATCATGATAGGATGGAAGCTTTGCAGAGAGGCTGTCGTTGAAGAATGAGGGGCAGCTAAAACCTATTTCCTTTAAGAAGGTAGAAAATGCTTATAAAAATTGAATTACAACTGGGCAAAAATGAAAAAAAAAAAATCTGACATGATTCCATTAATAAAATACTACCATGTTAAATCATTGCACTTAGTAAGAATGCTATAGTTGGTGATGCCTTCGCTTGCATCTGGCTTTGTGTGAATTCAGCACATCTGTACACTGTAATCAAGACTATAAACATAGATGTGCTGTATAACCTTTGAAGGACAGGTACAAGAGTACACGTTCCCTAAACTTGACATGAACTTTAGCATCAGTAAGGAAGACAGAGGGTTGCTTTGACATACCTAGACCTCAGTATGCTCTGTTGGTTTTGCCCAAGAGAACCGGTTTGAGATGAGCTGTCCACGGCAGGAGTTTGAGCCTAATAGCTGCTGGTGTCATTCTTCCAACAGTCTTCAATTCATGACATCATCCCGGTCGGCATGTGCCACGCTGGGCTGTTTAAAGAATCAATCAAACCGTCTGTCCTAAAGAATTAGACTAAGGTGCAAGAATGCAGACTAAACATGTCTTTCTCTTCGCTTTTCTTTCTCTTTCAGACTCATGGACATGTCATAAGTGCTATACACTCTCTTTTTCTCTTTCTCTTTTATTTCTGTCTTTTCTTTTATCCTTTTAGCAGTCCAATACGTTTCCCTGTGGATCCACCTAAAGCACTTTTACAGCCACTTGTGTTTCTTTGAACTTCATTGGATTTCTGAAGGAAGATGTTTGCATAGTCACTTCAAAACATAAAAAATTTGCGCCAGCCATTGAAATGACTCTTTCAATTGGATGTGTTGAGATCGACGGGCTTGATATGCTATCAAATGAGATGTCGAGAGCCTTTAGTGTGACAAATTTGAATGAGGCTGTTTTCCCCCTTGGGGAACCGATGAACTGAGAGGCCTCGGTTCTGAATGGGATGAACGGTCCATTGAAGTCAGAAGAATGCGTCTGTGTGACATATTAGTGCTTGGTAATTATCCATTGAAATGGATGAATAAGTTTGCTGGCATTGGTTCAGCTCCATCATCGACAGAAAAGCCCCCTGTGAGTAAATGTTTTGCCAGACTCTAGCCGCAGGAGAATAATTGAGACAATGAAGAGCTCATCACGTTCAAATTGCCATTGTTATCTTTGGCGTTTTTTTGTACCAGCTTCTTTATGCCTTTGTGCTGGAGTCATCTGCAAGCTACAGATTATTTTGTAAAACTGCTACACTGCACTTTCATTGCATCAAGTACTCATTTGTTTTCTTGGACATACGTAGATGACTTTTACCATTTGAAACATCTTCAGCAATAAAAGCTGAAAGAACAATATTATTTATACAGTATTTTTGTCATAAGTATAATCGTACTCTGGTCTGTGATGATGTGATGAAAAAGTTGGGAGTCTAGACCGGCAGCATGAATAAGATGTTTGTTTTCTCACAGCATGTTCTGTGTTTACATTCCAGCAAAGACTTTGGTGTGTAGATTACACAAATCAATTATGACGTGTAAATATCCACGGTTTGTGCATTTCCCCAAAAACTTGAGAAAATGCCAAATAACATAGTGTTCACTATGTTGGTCTTTGATGTTCTGACCTACTACACTGTAAACATAATGTAGAGGCTCTGATTCAGTGGGAAACTAAAGCTCGAGTTGCTTGTCTTTTAAATCAGTGGTTTTCACTCTGGCTTTGCTTCAGGATTTTAATTTAAAGGATTTTTAATAGGACAGCAAGTTGTCACGAATCCGGTTCATGAACTTTCCAATTCATTGACTCTCGCACTACACACTGTTGCACATCACCCCGGAATACATTTCCCATCATGCATTGCACTTTTCCTGGTTTCTGATCTTCGCCTGGTTTCCTGGATTTCTCCCTTAGTCTTGCCCCTTCTGACTCTGTCTGCCCATCGTCGACCCACGCTAGCCCTAGGACTGTTCTTGTGTCTTGCCCACCATATACCTGTCTGCCTCTGTTTAACCCTGCCTGCTTCATGACCACGTCTCTGTCTTCTCCACAATTAAGCCTTGCAGATGGATCCGCACGTCTCACGTCTCGTCAGTTCTGTAACACAAGTGGTGACAAAAATGCCCTTGCAGTCAAACACTGAGTATGTTGATACTGCCATGAATGCCAAAGAGCCAATTATATGCATATATTATATTATTTATTACATTTACATGTAAGCATCTTCCTAATTTTATCTGGCTTCTACCAAATAAAGATGAATTTATACCAAAATACTTTCATTTGTTTAGACACATGGCTTCTGATGTCAATAACTAAAGGACATTTTTTTCTCCTCTTATGTATGTATTGTATGTATTTGTCCCATCTTAATTCTTTAATTTTGCATTGTTTTTCAAAAAGCAAAAACAAAAAAACTGCGGTCCATTTTTGGGCCACAACCTATCAGAGAAAATTTTTTCTAAATTTACTGTTTGATCTTTTTTTTTTTTTTTTACAGTTATCATTCTAGTCCGAAATTCACATATTTAGCTACTAATATGGTGCTGAGACAGACGCCTATATTTTAGATATGGGGGTTTGGCGTCAGATTTCAGAGAAATGTTTACTCATGCTTTAAAAGTTAAGACTGCTCAGAGTTATTCTGGGCTTATTATCTTGGAGCGCCTACATCCAAGTTAGAAACCACGAGGAGGAGGGCTGTTATGAGGATTAGTGCACTGAGTCATTGTCTCATAGTCAGTGTACTAAGAACCGTTCAGTCTTTATCTGCCAGCCAAGTTGCCGTAGTAGGGGGTAAAAAAAAACACGGGGTCTTTAATTGGAACTTGACCTTTGACCTCCTATCTCCAAGCGCAGTATTCTGCCAACTTTTTGGTTTCAACTGTTTTTATCTCACAATAGTTAGTTGGATTCTGGGTTGAGAAAGCTGGTCCAAGGTCAGTGTAAATAGGATGCCTGTTCCAACATAGTGCTGTCTCCTCTGATGATGCAGCTCCTCCATCAGGCCAGTGCTGGATTTCAGTTTTGTTTTTATGAAAACAAGAGGGAGATGCTGTGAATTGCAGGCTTGTGTTTTTAACAGGAGCAGAGTTTCACAATGTCACATTCCATGTTGTTTCACACATTTTTGGGGAGGCTGAAAAAGCTGTTACTAATATTCTTCTTTGGTGACTAGCATTTAAACTCTAATTGAGTTTTAAAGAGAGAGTTCACCCGGGCCTGCCTGCCTGCCTGCCTTACGAAAATCTGACTATTTATTTTCGAAAAAACTCAAAATGTAAGTTTAGCAAATTTTCATGGATGATTTCAAGTTATAAATACTACTGTATAAGTACCATAAAATACAATACATGAGACTCATGCACTGTATTCCAATCTTCTTTAGGCCATATATTACTTTTATATGAGATATGATATGATATTTCATATATTTGTATCAAAATCAGGTGTTTTATTCTCGCAAAATACCTTGACAGCCATGGTCATCAATCACTTTTATTTAAGTGCAGCTTGGACTTTCTGCTGAACATCTCTTTTTGTGTTCCACAGCATGAAGAAGGTCATATGGATATGTATGGAGACATGAGAATTAGTAAATTATGCCAGAATTTTAACTTTTGTGTGAACTCTGCTTTCTTTTATGTGAAAAAATGTACAGTATATAGTGAAATGTCATCAGGTGGATGTGTCCGTGTGTGTACAGTACGTTACTGAATGTTCTGTATTCTGGAGGCAGGACTACTACATAAACATAGGGTCAGAAAGCTTGTAAAATGATCCTCAAGCACTGAGAACATCCTCTTCGCTGGGGTCCCGCTATGCTTCACTTTCCTTTTCCCTCTCTCTCCCTCTCTCTCTCTCTCTCTCTCACACACACACACACATATGCACACACATTCCTCTCCAGTCACTGCGAGGGGCAGGCTCAGAGCATGCTAGAAGCCCAGAGCAAAGTCATTCAGTTGCACGGTCATACACAGAGGAAACATAGAGAGAGAGAAAGAGAGAGAGAGAGCGCCAGGGCAGGTCTGACAACACTCCAGACTACATCTTCATGGACGCTGTCTTGCTTTCCTCATAACTGCACAGCTGCATTTCACATGCACTTCCAGCCACAGTTTCTCAAGACTTCAGTTTTTCCCCAGAAGACCAACTTGATATAAAGGCAGGAAGTGTATTGTGAGCGGGTGACAGGATCAATAATGACCTCCAGGCAACAGTCCAGTCCGGACGTGATCACCACGTGCCCCAGGTCATCCATACATCTCAGCTCATACTGATTCCACCTGACTTTGGACTAAAGGAACCGACAGCACCCCTTAAACAAATTTTGAAATTCGTGACCTCACCCTCCCCTCCAGCCATGTGGTGGGGTTGGTTTGTGTGCCGCTGCTTGTCCCTGGCAGCGCTGCTGGTGGTAGCAGACTGTGGAGGGGCTGAGCAAAGAAGAGGAGCAGAAGAAGGACTCAGAAGCTCCACGGCAAAAGCCAACAGCAGCAGCGGTCGAAAATATCACCGGATCCAACACGGACAGTGTAGCTACACTTTTATCCTTCCGGAGGGTGATGGAGGCTCTTGTCGAGAGTTTAAAGCGGGCACGCCGTACAATGCCAACGCACTTCAGCGGGACGCACCTCAACCTGAAGCGGACTTCTCCAACCAGAAGATCCAGCAGCTGGAGCATGTCATGGAGAACTATACGCAATGGTTACAAAAGGTGAGTTCTTTTAAGTTGCACAATGGATGATCGCACAATTATCGCAATTTCTGTATACAAAATTATGTAGTAGTTTGCGTAAGCTGAGAGGAGCGAATGCACAGCTGTTCTTCAATAGAGTCAGTAGAGCAGCGGAGAGGAGAGATAACAGTGTTTTTAAAGTCTGAAGTGCAAAGTTTGGTGTGTGAAAACTAATACTTGGATGTGCATGTCACAGCTGTTTATGAGTCTAAACTCGACAGGGATCAGCACTGTTCTTGACGCTGAGCACTTCGGCTGTCCGGTTGTCATCTAAAACTGTTTAGACAGCAGTGAAACTTCTCAGATGTTTTTTTTTTTTCTGAACTGCGTTCTTGGTTGATGTTCAGATGCCAGATTGTAAGGACGTGTTTTATGGTCACTGCACTACGAGTTTTGCAACAAGGCAGAGTACGAGCTTTACAATAACAGACCTGTCTTATTAAAAGCATTACCTTGGCCACTTTAGCTGTCAGAAACGTGATTTACATCAACACAGATTGCTCTGTTCAGCCGCTGTCTACGACGTAACCACCTGGCAGGGGAGTCTCACTCGAGCAGCGTCTGGCTGATTTCGCAGATGTTCAGGTGGACTCCACACGTTGTGCTGATACCGGGTTGTCAGTCACCCAGATGGTAGTCGGGTGCGCTGTCTCTTTAATGACAGGAAGTCAGGCAGACCCCCGGGAGTGCTTGAAGGAAGAGCGAGGAGGGTTTCTAAAAGCATAAGCTTGTTCCCTGTGCATCACTCCCTGTACAAGCTGCTATAGATGATTTGAGAGTTTTTTTTAGTTGTAACCTTTAAGCAAAGTTGATGGGAATTCAATTTATGTTGCAGAAAAAAATATTTTCACACAATTTCTTTTGTTTTATTTGATTAAAACATAATATTTACTAAATGTCCAAAATTCTAACAACATAAAAATATGGCAAGGGTTTCATTTAATTATTTTATTAAAACGAATATTAAATATTTATATAAGTAAGACATGAAAAGGATAAAAAAGAAGAATTTTTCATTAGTGATCTCAGACATTTGGACCTCAGTGTATATAGATATTATTTAAATGTCATTTGTTTAGCTAGGTGCATGCATTTGTAATTTTATTCATTTCTACAGTGTATAATAGAAAAATGCTTATGATCATTTAAATGACTACGCAATTAAATTTTTATTTAGCTATAATTATAATTATACTTCAGTTATAATGGTTGTACTATACTGGTCAGTCACCAAGTAGTTAATGATAATTGCTTCTCAAAAAGAAACGCCTACAGAAACAACCAAAGGGTACTTGGCATGGAAAACGAATCTAACATTGACTTTGTCACTTTCATTAGACAAACAAACCATATCTATTAAAAACACGCTCTTATTTATCAATATTGTGAACTTGGTGAGTAATCTAAGATTAATTATTTGAATCTTAGATTACTCATCAATATTGGGATCTTGGTGAGTAGTCTAAGATTAATTATTTGAATCTTTCTGTTTATTTTCATAAAACACGACTTGAACTTTTAACATATATGATGGATTACATTATGAGAATATCCTTTAGATTGCTCAAACTCAGTTTTCTTTCTTTCTTTCTATTTTCTCAAGTATAATGTACACTGAATGTAAACTAGTTGGTTCCATAGTGTAACCTGTTTCATGCTCGGTTCGTTTTGGTTGAATAGATGTGATGACTCAATGTTGTGTAATGGGTGGCCCCTGTCTGTTTAAAAAAAATAAATAAATAATAAAAATTATGTTTTTGAGTAAAGGTCATGGCTGCAACATGCACAGCATTCTAACTGATCTAAAGAGTTCCTTCCAGTCGGTCAAATCCCACTTGCTTTTCTTGGCATTTCCATTCTCGTCTTCATTTTGCAACGCTGTCCAACTTAATTATCCTGATGGATATAAAACAGCTATAGATTACTATTTGCAGACACTCATATGATTTTCCCAAAAAGACTCATGGCTGTATTCGATCAAAAGGGTGCTTCTACTAAATACTGAGCAAAGGGTCTGAATATTTAGGACCATGTGATATTTCAGTTTTTCTTTTTTAATAAATCTGCAAAAATGTCAACAATTCTGTGTTTTTCTGTCAATATGGGGTGCTGTGTGTACATTAATGAGGAAAAAAAAATTAACTTAAATGATTTTAGCAAATGGCTGCAATATAACAAAGAGTGAAAAATTTAAGGGGGTCTGAATACTTTCCGTACCCACTGTATTTTTAAAGGGGTGGGGAATCTTGTTTGGCTCCATTTTAGAAAAAGTCGGCTGAAATAATATTATGGTGCAATGGTTAAAAACAAAAGAATGAAAGAAAGAAAAATAAAAGCCTTTTTACCAGGACATGCATGCTATCAAAAGACGTACTACATTTCAGTATGTCAAGTTCATAAAAAAAGCTTTTTGGCAGGGCATGCAGTCTGAATTCTATATCAGTTAGTAAGTGGTTTATCATAAAATATAGTGAAAGGGGTATCTGCTAACATTAGTAATGTCACTTTCTTTTACTCACTGATAGTCAGACTGAGACTTTAAACAGGAAAAAGTGTACCTTACTTCAGTTCGACGATGTTAATAGATCTTGACAGGGAATGTTGTCTTGTTCAGTAGCTCTACTTAGAGAATTAAGTCATATTTTTTGTATTTGAAATGTAACAGGACGGATAGCACAAGAAAGCTTGTTTTAGTGGAATGATCTATGAGGCACAGGCCTAATTCAGGCTAATTGTGCTAAAGGCACATGAGGATGCAGTTAACATATTTCATCAGACAGAAGATGAAGTGTCCTGTGCTGGTCTATCTGTCTTAATCAAGTGAGCCGTGACTGTGGAGTAATTCTTAATACCACTCAAGCCGTAGGCTGATGAAAGTCTGCAGATAGTGATGGTCTGTTGTCGGAGGTGCGGAGGGGTCTGTGTGGGGTCAATATACGTTCACTGTGGAATTCTGCTGTGCCGGGGGAAGAGCGTATCCCGATAACATTCTTGTCCAGTCAAAGGTGGCTTCTGTTTGTCCAAAGGTTATCCCAGAAGCAGGCATGGTCCAAAGAGGGAGACTTTTGTGGATTGCCTGTGATCTTTTATCATTTGTTGCAGAAACGGACCACTTGTGGATATAGCTAGCTAACCTCTGCTAATCTCAAATGCTTAAACTATCAGCTGTTTAATGAAGGGATGCTTTTAACCATGAGAGTAGGGCAAAGAAAGGTATTATCCAGTTTCTTGGATATCTAATCACAATTTTAAGTGATAGTTCATAATTTACTCAACCTCATGTCGTTCCAATCCATTATGGCTTTAATTTTTCTGTGGAACACAATGTGCTGTCTGTTTGTTTTCCTATAATCAAAGTAAAATGGGTCCATTTAAAAAAAAAAGAAATTAATATTTTAATGCAGCAATGATGCATTAGTCTGTCAGTAGGGCCTGAGGTCCATTTTTGGCAAAGCTCAAGCTTCTGCCATGTCACATGTGGAAGCCGTCAGGGGACTGGAAGCGATAGATCTTCACACTCTATGTTCAAAGAAAACTTTTTCCGAGCTCATGTTTCTGAGGATAGTGCGTCTTGCCAAGGAGCACTTTAGACTTAAAAGCACATATTCGAACCCTGGCCCTGTGAAATTCCCATTGTTCTGCTCGACCCTCAGTTTGGATATTGGTGACTAGAGTGAAACGGGAAGGTTAAGCCTGGCGCTCAATAGGGTTTCCTTCATGGAGGGTATTCATGAAGACTGTAGACCCTCACTCGGCCACACAGCATGTCTAAAAAGCCAAAGCAGGACTGAGCTATTTTAGGGGTGATCTCCTTTGTATCAGAGTTTGTTTTGCTTATAGAAGCAGCCAAAAGCAACAAACTGGATGGAGCAGAGTAAACGTTCACTTAAACGACTAAAAAGCTCTTCCTTCCTGTTTCATATCTTTTACACGCACCAGGAAAGTGCCACGTTTATCTGAGCACCACAGAGAGATATTACTGCTCCAAATGTAATATTTGTGAGAGGTGAAAGCAAAATGGGGCAAATTAAAACAAAAAAGAGTACACTGCTGTCCACCATTTCTTAAAAATGTTTTTAAACGAATTTGAAAACTACAGCCAGCACTGTTATTTTTCTCCTAGCATTTTTCAATTGTTTTTTTGATATGTCATGCTGCTTTTTTGAAGTAATTTTCCCCAAATGTATTTCATCAGGGTCGTTAGGCTAACTCAGCCATGTCTGTTTGATAAAGGGCAGAGAAAGCCCCCTGAAATCTATACCCTAAACCCAAATGAATTGGCCACTTAATGTCTTCCTAATTTTGTAAATGGACCTAACTCTCAATGGCCGCTTAATGTATTTATGAGGTCAAATTTCCATCGGTGACTTTAATAAATCTCCCTCTGGTGCACACTCGCTTTAGGATTAATGTGAATTTAATTGTCCTTTTATTTATGTTAGTTGTTTTGGGATTTTGATTTTCCAAAAATGGCCTCAGACTAAAAGTTAATGTGTCCTGAATAAAAATGAGAATATTTTGTTATATCTTTTGGCATTAGTGTTGCCCTAGATTATTTTCTTTGGAAAATGGTGTTACTGTTGGCATTACAAATACCGCTTTTTTATTAATTTTTTTTTTTTAATTGTTTAGGACAAGAAATAGATATGGACATTTTTCAAACCTGAGCTTTTCCCACGATATATGTGAGAGTATGTGAGTTTCTTTCTTTGTGTGATTAACATAGGTTATTCTTGGGTCTTTTTTCTTCAATTGGCTTGTTACAGTTTTTTTTTTCAGTATTTGATATCCAGTGTAATTAATAACATTTTGAAACAGTACAAGCGTGCCATTGATGAGGTTTAGCTCCGCATCTAGTTTAGATGAGTAATTCAACAGTTTGAATAATTTAGAATGAGAAAGTGTAAATAGGCCCATAATCCGTAAGGCAGATGAGAATTTCATAGCTTGACTAAATACACAAAGTATATCTATATATT